GTAATTTTTGGCCAGGGCTGGGTTTGAACCCGCCACCTCTGGCATATGGGGCCAGCATCCTACTCCTTTGAGCCACAGGTGCCACCCACAATATAGATTTTTTTACAGAAGAGTAAAATTTATCATTAGCAAATACATTAACCAAATATATTACATTTTTTTAAAAAAGAAAAAATAATCAATTTGATTTCACCTTTTTCTTTTTCTTTCTTTTTTTTTTGAGACAGAGCCTCAAGCTGTCCTCCTGGGTAGAGTGCCATGGCATCACAGCTCCTAGCAACCTCCAACTCCTGGGCTCAAGCAAGTCTCCTGCCTCAGCCTCCCAAGTAGCTGGGACCACAGGTGCCTGCCACACCTAGCTATTTTTGGTTGCAGCCATCATTGTTGTTTGGCGGGCCTGGGCTGGATTCGAAGCTACCACCTTAGGTGTGTGTGGCTGGCGCCCTAGCCACTTGAGCCACAGGCGCTGAGCTGATTTCACCTTTTTCATTTGAAATGAATAAAAGAGAATGTATAAATCTCTGTATGCAGGCCAGCGGTAGTGGCTCACACCTGTAATCCTATCATTCTGGGAGGCCAAGCCAGGTAGACTGCTTGAGCTTGTGAGTTTGAAACCAGTCTGAGCAAAAAGCGAGACCCCCACCTAAAAATAGAAAGAACTGAGGCAAGAGGATCCCTTGGTTGCTGTGAGCTGTGACGTCATGGCACTCTACCCAGGGCAAATTGGCTTGAGACTCTGTCTCAAAAAAACAAACAAAGACTTATGTTACAATTTGAAATGTAAAGATAACACATCTTAAATACCACTAATTTGAACTTTTACAGAGTTTGATTAAGATATTTAAGGAAACCTATCTAGGATGAGTTTTTTGTTTTTTTTTTAGAGACAGTCTCACTTGATAGCTCCTGGTAGAGTGCTGTGGCATCACAGCTCACAGCAACCTCCAACTCCAGGGCTTAGGTGATTCTTCTGCCCCAGCATCCCAAGTAGCTGGGACTACAGGCGCCCGCCACAACACCCGGATATTTTGTGTGTGAGTGTGTGTGTGTGTGTGTTTTTAGAGACAGAGTCTCACTTTATTGCCCTCCGTAGAGTGCTGTGGTGTCACACAGCTCACAGCAATCTCCAACTCCTGGGCTTAGGTGATTCACTTGCCTCAGCTTCCTAAGTAGCTGGGGCTACAGGCACCCACCACAATACCCAGCTATTTTTTTGTTGCAGTTTGCCCAGGGCTGGGTTTGAACCCACCACCCTCGGTATATGCGGCCAGCGCCCTACCAGCTGAGCCACAGGCGTTTTGTTGCAGTTTGGCAGGGGCTGGAACCCAACACCCTCAGTATATAGGATTGGCACCCTACCCACTGAGCCACAGGTGCCGCCCTCCACGATGGTTTTCTATGGAATAAATAAATAATTAAGAAAAAACATCAAAGGGGTAGCACTAAAAGAAAAAAAGGAATATTTGTGCTGAACACATAATAAGTAAGTCTAAATTCATCTTACCGCCCATATTTTCCAATCCTTTGATCACAGTCTCTTTGATCTGTAATCAAAATAACTAGATTTAGTATTCTTTAAATTTCAATGTTTCTCTAACAGTTTCTAGTTTTGCAAAAGGTAACAATATACTTTCTGTATAAAAAACAGATATTCTTTATTCCTTGTAGGTAGTCCAGAAAAGTTTCTCATCCATTGATTTTTCAAAATAAAAATCCTATTTTCCCTTTAATCTTCAATTTGTAGCAGATCACAAACTATACACCCTCTTTAAAAAAAAAAAAAAGCACTTACAACTTTGTACATTTCAAGAACATCCTAGGTCAGATTAGGTGCAGTGACTCACGCCTATAATCCCAGCACTTTGGGAGACCAAGACAGGAGGACCACTTGAAGCCAGGAATTGAAGACCAGCCTGAGCAATATAGTGAGACCCCCATCTCTACAAAACTTCAAAAGATTAGCCAGGTGTGGTGTGGCCACCTATCATCCCAGATACTTAGGAGGCTGAGGCAGTAGGATTGCTTGAGACCAGGACTTTTCAGTTGCAGTGAGCTATGATGACACCTCTGCACTCTAACCCAGGAAAAAGATTGAGATCCTGTCTCAGAATAAAGAAAACATCCTTGGTCAGGGTATCCAGTCATCTGGACCCTAGATTAATGACTCCTGATTCTCAACCAAGTAAGAAATAAATAAGAATGTCCAGAGAGGGCAGGAAAGAAGTATAGTGAAGAGGTAAGGGTACTACTGGGAGGTGCTTATATGAGTTTTGAGAAAGTATAGCTGTCTACCCATGGTAACATTCCATAAATAATTGTTAAATTAATGAATATTATAATTTTCTATTTGAAGGGAAAACTCTTGATTTGGTAAGATAATCTGTGGAAAGTAAATCTCTAAAAATTTAATTTTTTAGATAGATGAGGAAGAGTTTCTCAATCAGGAGGTTACACTCATCTGGGAAGCATAATTTTTTTTTTTTTAAGACAGAGTCTCAAGCTGTCACCCTGGGGTAGAGTGCCATGGCGTCATAGCTCACAGCAACCTCCAACTCTTGGGCTTAAGTGATTCTCTTGCCTCAGTCACCCAAGTAGCTGGGAGTACAGGTGCCTACCACAATACCTGGCTATTTTTTGGTTGCAGTTGTCATTGTTGCTTAGCAGGCCTGGGCCAGGTTCAGAGCTGCCACCCTATGTGTATATGGCCAATACCCTGCCGACTGAGCTACAGGAGCTACCCGTGCAAAGTATAATTAGCTTAACAATATTCAGTATGCTTTTCTTTTGTTTGTTTATTTATTTATTTATAGACAGAGTCTCACTCTGTTGCCCAGGCTAGAGTGCTGTGGCATCAGCCTAGTTCACAGCAACCTCAAATTCCCGGGTTCAAAAGATCCTCCTGCCTCAGCCTCCTGAGTAGCTGGAACTATAGACACCAACCATGATGCCCGGCTAATTTTTCTGTTTAATAAAGATAAGGTCTTATTTTTTTTTTATTTTTTGAGACAGAGCCTCAAGCTGTCCCCCTGGGTAGAGTGCTGTGGCATCCCAGCTCACAGCAACCTCCAACTCCTGGGCTCAAGCGAGTCTCCTCCCTCAGCCTCCCAAGTAGCTGGGACCACAGGCGCCCGCCACATCGCCCGGCTATTTTTTGGTTGCAGCCGTCGTTGTTTGGCAGGCTGGGGCTGGATTCGAACCCACCACCTTAGGTGTATGTGGCAGGCGCCTTAGCCACTTGAGCCACAGGCGCTAAGCCAATGAGGTCTTACTTTTGCTCAAGCTGGTCTTGAACTCTTGAACTCAAGGGATCCTCCTACCTCAGCCTCCAAGAGGCTAAGATTTCAAGTATGAGCCATCATACCTGGCCTTGTAGGAATTTTTATAATGAAACTAATATGTTTGCTATAAATAAATTCAAATAATACAAAATTATATCAAGTAGTAGGAAGAATTACACTGATAAAGAACAGATACAAGTTTTACCTTTAATTTTCCTTCTTTAAACCAGTGACTCAGCTGTAGAATGCCAGGCTCAAATCTGTCCTTATAATTTAACACCATAAATCTTTCTCTGCAATGGGAAGAAAAGAATAAAGATCAGAGATTTTAATAAGAGTGACAGTCAAAGATTGCATCATTCCAGAACTCTACTATCTGTTAATCCTCAAAATATTAGGACTTAATCACAACGAATCTGGTCAGATATAGTTTTAGATGTATGTACTATTGTTTTTGTCTGTCCAGCACCTACAACACCATTTGGTAATAGCTGCTGAACCTGGTAATAAGGGCAAAGGAGAAGAACATACCTTGTGATATTTCTTTCTTTCTGAACTGCCTCTATTGTAGGGGGCAATGGTGGAGGATAAGGCACATCTTTGTTGTACTGAGAAATCTGACCACATAGGATGATGTGGCTGTTCTGATTCATCTGTAAAGAGAAAACTAACTGATGGTTACACCCTAAGATGCAATGCCTTCCCTATGTTACAGATTTACGGCTGCCTCAATGAAAGCCTCCTTGAGTGTTAAATCTAATCCTTTTTTTTTTTTTTTTTGAGACGGAGCCTCAAGCTATCCCCCTGGGTAGAGTGCCATGGCATCACGCTCACAGCAACCTCCAACTCCTGGGCTCAAGCGAGTCTCCTGCCTCAGCCTCCCAAGTAGCTGGGACTACAGGCGCCCGCCACAACGCCTAGCCATTTTTTGGTTGCAGCCATCATTGTTGTTTGGCGGGCCCGGGCTGGGGATTCGAACCCGCCACCTTAGGTGTATGTGGCTGGCGCCTTAGCCGCTTGAGCCACAGGCGCCGAGCCAAATCTAATCCTTTATTGTCAGTTGAGTTCATTTTAAGATCGACCCGTTATACATATTTAAGAGTTTTCATTAGCCAGAAATAAGTCCATTCCAAAAAAACATAGTGGCAAGGGCGGTGCCTCTGGCTCAAAGGAGTAGGGTGCTGGCCCCATATACACTGGAGGTGGTGGGTTCAAACCCAACGCTGGCCAAAAACTGCAAAAAAAAAAAAAACATAGAGGCAAATCAAGTTTGGTAATTAGCAAACAAATTACATTAGTTGCTGCCTCTTTTAGTAGTGGTAGTATGTTTCTATGGATTTAAATAATTTAACCTCAACTGCAAATAATTTTTCACAGAGGAAAAGACTCTGCAATGTTAATAGCTCATATTGACCTTTTATAACATTGTTAATAAAAACATATAAATACCTGATATCTATGAAAAACTCATTCCCTACCCAAAGTCTGGGGCATGGCTGGTCAAGGGTGAGTTAAGGGCCAGAACATTACCATTTCAACAATGTAACTGTAATTTTTCACAAAATAAACTGAAGGTGAAAAATATAATATTGCTAGCAAAGAACAAAAATTGAAGTTCATAGTGCAAACCTGCAAGCAAATGGAAGCAAATATCAGCAAGAACTTTTGTATAAGAAATACAATACTGTTACATTGTCACAATAAACTCTACAATTTCATAAAGTTTTTTTTCTCAGATTAGGTAAAAAATAACATGCAAAGAAAAAGCAATATTCAATTTATAAGCAAAGTATAAAACAACCTGACTTATCACTTTATCACTGATGTCACCGCCAACATTGTCAAAATAAATGTCCACTCCAGCTGGGCATAATTCATGGAGTTGTTCTGCCACATTTCCTTTTTTATAATTAATTGCATTATCAAAGCCCAATTCAGAGGTCAAAAGAAGGCATTTCTCATGTGTTCCACAAATTCCTACCACTCTGGAACAACCCAGCAAATGGCCAATCTAGAGGGAAAATTTTTGAAAGTTGAGTGTCTTTATATAAATCAATATCATCACATTTAAATGTAAAAATGTGGCCTTATATAAGATAATACAAGTATGTGAGAGTGTTCATCACAATTTAGGTTAGATTACATTGCTTTTATTTTATTTATTTCTTTTTTTGAGACAGAGCCTCAAGCTGTCGCCCTGGGCAGAGTGCCGTAGCATCACACCTCATAACAACCTCCAACTTCTGGGCTTAAGCGATTCTCTTGCCTCAGCCTCCCAAGTTGCTGGGACTACAGGCACTCACCACAACGCCTGGCTATTTTTTGGTTGTAGTTGTCACTGTCGTCTTGGCAGGCCTGGACTGGATTTGAACCTGCCAGCTCTGGTATATGTGGCCAGCACCTTAGCCTCTTGAGCTACAGGTGCCAAGCCTACATTGCTTTTAACTAAAAGTAATTTGAAGCCAAAAAACTTAAGGCAGACATAATGTCATCCTTTAATTGAATAAAATCAGTCTTACAAATGCTCTCTGACTTGAGATAAACTCATCATTAGTTGAAAACATTTTAAGTCAAAAATGGATTTAATACACCTAACCTAATGGGTATCATAGCTTAGCCCGGCCTACCTCAAAAGTATTTAGAATATTTATATCAGCCTACAAGTAGGCAAAATCATCTGATAACACAATACACTGTAGGGTACGGGTTGTTTATCCTCATGATCACATGGCTGACTGGGAGCCATGGCTTGCTACCACTGCAAGAGAGCATGGCATATCCTAATCCACGCAAAGATCAAAATTCAACCTTTGAAGCATTGTATCTACTGAATGTATAGGGCTTTTGCATCATTGTAAAATTAAAAACCCTAAACTGAACCATCAGAAGTCAGGGATCCTCTGTAGTCTGAATGCTAAAATCTTATAATTTAAATCTGATTTCCTGGTGGGACACAGTGGCTCATGCCTATAAGCCTAACACTGGGAGGCCGAGGCAGGTGGACTGCTTGGGCTCAGTAGTTTGAGATCAGCCTTAGCAAAAGTGAGACCCTCATCTCTACAAAAATAGAAAAGAAATCTAGCCAGGCATTGTCGTAGGCAGCTGTAGTC